CCTAGGCTGGTTCTGATTGTAGGCCACAGGATTTACAGCTGGATAAGACTGGTAACTACTCCCCCTCAGTAACAAGTACAGCACCGTCGTCAGCCTGTAAGGGGAGAGGTGTAAGGCGTACGGTTTTTCCGCCTGCCGCCTGGTCTTGTCCCGCCACCTAGTCTTGTCCCGCCACCTAGTCTTGTCCCGCCGCCGCGCCAGCCCCAAATAATGCACAGAGACTCTGTATTTGATATTAAGCTGTTGGCCCGGTTACTAGTTTCTTATCGGCTAGCTCTGTCTTAAGTATTAACCCATTTCTGCTGATCAATGTATTTTTCTTACCGGGGAGCCGGCGGCATACTGCTTTCTCCAGACTCTCCATCTTGGCCCCCTTACTACTTCCTCTTTTCTCCTTGTCTCCTAGTCCCGCCTATCTTCCTTTCCTATTGGCCAACAGTGCTTTATTCATTAACCAGTATGAGAAACATGTACAGAATGACATCTCCCATCAGAGAGATTTGTCAGTTTTCACTTTAGTTTCTTTTGTCTTTCAGGTTCTGTCTGGGAAATTGGAGGTGGCAATGATTTGAAATCTTTTCCAGTAGTACATTAATTACTCAGCTTGAGGCATTACATTTAGGTGTTTTATCCACTTTTTTTGTTTTTTTTTTTTTTTAAAGACTTTTAGAGACAGGGTTTCCCTGTGAAGCGCTGGCTGTTCTGGAACTCACTATGTAGACCAGGCTGGTTTCAAACTCAGAGATCTTGTCTCTGCCTCCCAAATGCTGGGATTAAAGACATGTGCCACCACCACCTGGCCGCCTTTTATCCACTTAAGGTTGATTTTTTTTTTTTTTTTTTTTTTTTGTATGCTGTGGGAAATTGAGGTCAAATTGAAATCGTCTACATTTATATGCCCAGTTTTTTCAGGACAGTTTATTGAAGAGGATGTCCTTTCTCTAATGTTAATTTTTTATTCTTTGTTAAGAATCAGTCTCTTGTACATGGATTAGTTTACTTATAGATTCTACTTTGTTCCATGGACCCGACTGTTTTTATGTCAGTATCTGTGGCTCTGTACATTTTGTATATTTTGAAATCAGGTATTGTAATACCCCAAGTTTTTGTTATTTTTACTCAAGATTTCTCTAGCTATTCAGCTTTTTCTCCTTCCATGTGAAATTTTAAGATTATATTTGTTATTATTATCTTAATTTCCTGAGAAGCAACTTGAGGCCGGGTGGTGGTAGAGCATGCCTTTAGTCCCAGCACTCAGGAGGCAGAGGCAGGCTGACTCCTAAAGTCTCATTTTCATCTAATAATGTGAAGTGCATTACGTTCACCTCTAAATATCCCCATTATCTTCACCTGTTCCAATTCCATTCTAAGGTCCAAAGTTTCTTCTGAGTGTAAAGTAATTTAACTGTGAGCCCCTGTAAAGTCATAGCCGAATTACATTTTTTTTCCCCTCAGTATATAATGGTGCAGAGTAAACATTCTCATTCTCTGAAGGAGGAATGGGGTCATGGCAAGGAAAGATCAGATCAGAGCAAGTGTGAAATCTAGCGGGATAGATGCCAGATGTTGCAGTTTTATGCAGTATCAGGACTCCCTGTTGGATTCACATCAGCATCAAAGGGTTTGACAGATCTTCTTCCTGCACATCCTGGAGTCTCCATCACAATAGAGGCTTCACCTGCAAACTTCATGCAGCAGATTCTCAGGGCCTGCTTGCAGGGGTTCTACCCCTGCCTCATATCACCTGGCATTCTCACAGCTTTCATGCCTGTAGAACCAGTATAAATGGACAGTGCTGCCAGTTTGAGATGGATCCTGAAGACCTTGGACCACAGCTCAATGAGCCTTTGTGTGCTGATACAGGACTGGGGTCTATGTTTACTGCCCATGGCAGCTGTGTTTGAGCAAGCTATTCCTTCAGTGGCACTTTCCATTTAGGCCCCCTTCTTTAAAATCAATTTGCATTTTCACTAGAGCTTTCCATAGGAGCCCTGCCTACCTGAAACCTTTCCTATGCAGAGTGCTAGGTTTTTGTTTGTTTTCATGGTGCTGCTCTGTTTTAATAACCGTACAGCTGCTTCCTCAGCATCCTCCCCTGGAACTTCACTTTTATCCATTTTCCCAGCAACAACACATTTTCCATTATCTTTCTGCTCTATCGGTTGCTTTCATTCAGTGTAGACTTAACCATAAACAGTCAGTTATAGTCACGCCACAGCCCTCATGCTGTCTTCTTTTGAAATTTCTGCTGGCAAACAGAATAATACCTTACTTTGAAATGCATCCCTACTCAAGGTTTCAGGGCATAGACAGAATGCCCTAGATTCTTTGGCAAAATGTAGAATGAGGCCTTTAGCTCAATTCCTTATAGAGTTCTGGTTGATAATAGACTCTCAAGTCCTGTGGCTTAAGAGCACTGGCTGCTTTTCCATAGGGCCCTGATTCAATTTCCAGCACCCACATGGTAGCTCACAACTGTCTGTAACTCCTGTTCCAGAGCATCCGACACCCTCACACAGACAGACATGTAGGCAAAACACCAATGCACGTAAATACAGGTTAAAAAAATTTCAACTCCTTAATATAGTCAACCAAATACTCACTGCACAGTCTTATCCTGGTCACAGTTCCTTTCACTGTAGACATTTGGATAACTAGTTTAATTTCTGTCATCAAGTGGCATCATCCAGCAACTGAGAATCAGATGCAGACTCACAGCCCACCTTGGAGTTTGGGGAGTCCTGCAGAAGAGGCGGAGAATGGAGTGTAGGAGCAAGAGGGGGAATCAAAGACACCTCAAGAAAACTCACAGGATGAACTAACCTGGGCTCACAGGGGCTCACAGAGACTGAACTGACAACTGATCCTGCCTGGGACTGACCTCGTCCCTCTGAATATGTGTTATAGTTGCATAGCTTGATCCTTTTGTAGGACTCCAACAGGGAGCGGGGTCTATCTCTGACTCTTTCACTGACTTTTGGGACCCAATTCCTCATACTTGCCAGCCTTAATACATAGGGAAGTGTTTAGTCTTACTGCAACCTGATATGTTCAATTTTGTTGATATTCATGGGAGACCTGCCCTTTCTAAACAGAAGCAGAGGAGGAGAGGGACAGATAAGGGGTGAGAGGGGAGGGAGGGGAACTTGTGGATGGAAGGCAAATTAATTAATTTTGTTTTATCTCCTTGAACAGGCATTATTTATCCCAGAATATTCATGTTTCCTTGACATTTTTTTTTTCAGTTTCTGTTCATTTTCTTTGGTAGAGTGCCTAGCATTCTGTAACACTTTTGCGTACAGGTTGTTAGCAGCTCAGGGCAGGAAAGGCTTCTTTCCAGCTCCTGGCTTCAGCGTTAGTCCATGTTGTGGGACAGGGATGAAGGAGCAGCTACATGGCTGCTGCTGCCAGGTTGCTCAGAATACTGCCGAACTAGGAAGCAAAGAGCAGGGACGAAAAGCAGGGCCAGGCTATAACCTTTAGAGCCGACTCCTCGTGATCTCCATGTACTGGCAAGGTCCTATAGTCGTGCAGAACAGCTGTAGGTGTTTGGACACATGAGCCTGTGTGGAGTATCAATGTTCAGATTTGTAACCGTCATCTTCATAGCAAAACCCTTCTTGACTTGGTTCAGAAGAAATGATAGTATGGGTTCTCCTTCTTATTTCTTCTCAGTTTAAATGATGGTTTGAGCAAGAACCATTTCATGTTTGTGGACGTGTCTCTAACTCCTACTAGTATAGCTATTTTATTAATGTTCCATAAATACTGCTTGAATATATTATTACTGACTTAAAGAGATATCAGTTTAATTCTGTGTTTTTCATACCTTAATTTGTTTTTCTAAATTAACATGATTCCATGGAAGGTCCCTTAGGACTTGGACTTTTTTCCCCTTTAAGTTGTCTGGTACTCTTGTGTATCCCCAAGTAGCTGCTCCAAACATTTTTAAAATTCAAATTTGGAAATTTTCTATATTATGAAAATATGTGAGCATTTTGTTTTCTGTTTCTTAACATGGTTGTATTTGTTAATTAATGAAATGGTGTCTAAAAGAGTTTCTGTGGTAACAAATAGATCCTTCTGATTAAACACTTGTGATTAACATTGTAGCTATTCTTCATTTGACATTGTTTGAAGCCTATGTGGTAGTCTGCTTATACCTCTGCAAAAATTATTCAATGGTCTGAGGACTAAACAAAGTTTTTAGATATGATATATATATGTATACATATATATAGTGGATATATATATATATATGCTGTATATAATGAATAAATTAACAAATGTGATTAAGCAAAATTTGGAAACTATTCGCATTTGTGCGGCTTTCTATTGATGTTGTTTGTTGAGGGTATGTGGTCTTTGTACTCACAGATAAGCACTAGGGAAACCAGGAAGGTTAAACATCAGGCTTGTCTCTTCAAAGGAAAGAGATGTTTGCCTGTTTTTCACCCAGAAAGCTGGGAATAGATGTCTGTAGGACCATGCTTCACCTAAATCCCCCAGACTACTATCATGTTTGCCGCAGACACTCTCCATAGACCCTTGTCTTGAGCATTATTTCTCAGTCAGCAGAACCCATCTTTATGGACAAGGCCATATGTACTCTGTAAAGAGTGTCACTGTAAGTTTGTGTTAAGCTTTGTTGTACATGTGGGATTGGGTTAATTTTTCCCCCAAAATTGTGCTGTGCTTAAATATGGCTAAAATAAATTGGTTGAGGTCTGTACATATTTGTGAGGATGATATAATTATAGGTTGTCTGATATGATTGTGAAGAAAATCCCAGTGTAAGTAAAGTAGACTTTACTTTTTAATGTGTCATTGAGAATGGCTAAACATTTGCTTTTTTACTTATAATGTTTATAACTAATTAAATTTTATGAAGTAGTGAAATCCAGAATTCCAGGAGATACTCACTTGTTACAGTTTGTAATAAATTCATGTGTTATAAAATATTTAGAACCATATGTATTAATTATTTATGTATATAACAGGCATCTCAGAGTTATGTTGACGAATGTTCTATGGACGGATTTAGGACGAAAATTCAGAAAGACCCTACCTAGAAATGATGCTAATTTATGTGATACCAGCAAGGTGCAATCAGACTCATTGCCTTCGACATCTGTTGACAGCATAGAGACATGTCAAAAATTAGACCCTCTTCACCAAAGCCTTAATTTATCTGAAAGGTATGTTACTTAGTATTGATTTTGTTAAATTTACTACATGTGAAATAGTATAAATCCAATATTCTTGAAAACAAGATTGTTGGAGATGATTTAAAGATCACTGCACACAAGAATGCTCCATTTTAGCGTAAACCTTAGAGTTTTCCACTCTGATTTTCAATTGAATGATGGTTCTGTACTTCACTAAAGGGATTGACAAGGGATTAAGAAAGGCTTCTTTTTCCATTTAATTTATTTACTTTGTGGTTAATTGATGCTATATTTTAGGAATTTATTATATAAAAGATAACATATATGCATATTTGAATATATGTGTATATTCGTGTTTGTTTGCATACATTTCTTTGTTTTACTTTAAAAATTATTTTAAAATTTTACATGCGTACTGTGTTTGCATCATTTCCTCTCCTCTTTTTATGCCCTCCAAACACTTTCAGGTTCTACCTACTCCCTCTCAAATAGTGACTTCCTTTCTTTAAGTATTATTATTGCAAATATATATGTATGGATGCATATACAATACAACGTGCTGAGTTCTTTTAGTGTGCTTCTATGTGTGTGCTTTTTAGGGTTGACCACTTTGTATCGGATAACCAATTGGGGGGTCCTGATACTCTTATTCGCCCTCTCTTAGCAGTTATTAATTACCTACAACTCTTTATCTACAGGGAACCCTGTGTGGGTCTAGTTTAGTCAGCTGTATTGTTGAGTTGCATGGGCGCAGCTTCCCTGTCTTAATAGAAGATGCTGTCTTGCATCAGAAGTCCTGATCCTCTGGCTCTCACAGCCTTTCTGCTTCTCCATTTGCGATGTTCCCTGAGCCTTAGGTGTAGATGTATCAGGTGGGCTGGGTACTTGATCAGTTATTCTTTGCATTTTGACCAGTTTTGGCTTTCTGTAGTGGCCTGTGTCTTCTGTGAAAAGAAGCTTCCCTGATGAGGAATGAGAACCACACTCATCTATCTGTAAAGGTATAAGAATGAGAATTAAGGAGGCAGTCAGACATTTTACTAGTTTGAGGGAAGTGGCAGTGGTAGATTCTCCTCTAGGTTGCATGACTTAGCCAGCCATACGCAATTGCCTAGGTTTACAGTAGCAGGCATGAATTCCCTCTTATTAATTAAGTCCAATTATGTGTCTAGTGTTTACTCCCAAGTTGTTGCATCCTTAGGGAACTCTTTGCAGTGCTGGTAATCGCTGAGTCGCAGGCTTTGCAGCTGGGTAGCACTATTGCTTTTCTCCCTTGGCAGCTTGCACAGCACCTTCAGATGCTGTGAGGACTAAAGGGAGGAGGCTTCCCGGTCAGATCCGGTGGATTTTTCCAGGTCTTGTGTCTGAGGTGTGTGGGGATCAGCAATTTCCTTCCTTCCTTCCTTCCTTCCTTCCTTCCTTCCTTCCTTCCTTCCTTCCTTCCTTCCTTCCCTCCCTCCCTCCCTCCCTCCCTCCCTCCCTCCCTGCATTTCTCTGTATTTCTTTGAAGCCTGTAGATCAGGCTGGCATTGAACTTAAAGAGATCCACTTGCCTCTGCCTGCCAAGTGCTGGGATTATAGGTGTGCACCACCATGCCTGGCCAGCACAAGAGTCTTACCTTCAAGTTCTGGAAGGCAATGGTGGCAATGACAGTGGTTTGTTTTGGAGTCTCTTGGATTCTCCTAACTAACAGTTTAAAAGGAGTTTTCCATGCGTGATACACACCCGTAATTTTGAGTAACCATAAAACAACATGATTCCCTACGGCTTTTTCAAATATCAGTGGTGTTACTTACTTCCCTTACATTTTCTGTGTTGCTGTCCCTTCCACTGTGAAAGTCTCCACCGCCCTTCCCCCCCAACTTCCCTTCCGGAGAACCTGTGTGTTTCCACTTCTCTTCCTGGAGCTCTTCCACTGCAACCTGCTTGATTTTTTTTTGTTTTCTAAATTTTAGCATATATTTTAAACATATTTTCGAGTGGATTCTCAACACTTTTGGCTTTGTGAGGGTTTTCATATTTTACACACATTGATTTAGTACAAGAAGTGATATTAAAATATCACTTCCACATTTTCAATAGTAAATACTCAGTTTAATTTTTAAAAGTGTAACACAAAAATGTGGTCTTTTTGAAAAAAACTATTTGTACTTGTGTTTATGTGCATGTAGCCCCAGACATCTGGAGGAAGTGTTGGCTCTCCTGGAATTGGAGTTACGGATAGTATGATCCGCCACATGGGTGCTGGGAACTGAACTCTTGTCATCTACAAGAGGAGCGCGGTCTCCAGCCTCTGTTGTGTGTGTGTGTTTTTAAATTATATGTAGGGTTTGTTGCTGAAAAGTAGGAATTAGTAGGAACTTATAATCTATAATATAATACTTTATATTTCCATTTACAGTTTTAACTCTCAAATATCTTAGGGACTTGGTACATTGTTTAGCATCAGAATAATTTGCCCCTTACCATGGAACTGCTCTGATGTTATGGTCTGTAATCTAGAATTTTCTCCTTCTTTCTATTTGGAGATAGGTTCTCATTTTGTCCTCACTTTGTAACCTCAACTGGCCTGGAACCCTCTTATAGAGACCAGGATGGCCTTGAACTCATAAAGGTCTGTCTACCACTATGGTCTGTAATCTGGATGACAGTCAATACTTTAAGGTACAATCCAGATAAAACTACCAATTTTAAGCAGTTATTTTTTTTTTTTTTTTTTTAAAAATGGTTCTTTCTTAAAATATCCAAGCATCATAAGCCTCTCTCTCTCTCTCTCTCTCTCTCTCTCACACACACACACACACACATACACACACACACACACACACACACACACACACACACACACACACAAAGAACTGGGGCTAGCAAGATGGCTCAGTGGCTAAGAGCGCTGGCTACTCTTTCAGTGGTCCTGCGTTGGATTTTCAGTACCCATGTAGTGGCTTATAATTGTAACTCCATTTCCAGGGGATTTGTTGCCCTCCTCTGGCCTCAGTGGACACTAGGCATGAATATGTTGCACAGCCTTATGCACAGGCAAAACTATCCATAGCCATAAAATACTAACACAATAAATCTAAAATGAACACTTCTTTTTTGATGTAAAAATCTTTTAAATAATATAAATTCTTAGATATTTTAATTGGACACTTGCAAAGTTTTGATAATTAGTGTACATAAGCATTACTGACAAAATAAAATATACCTGCTAGTGAGCCCCTCAGATGGTACTCAGTCTGAGAACACCTCTTTTAAAGGATAAAATCATAAAATGTTTACTGGGACTGTCCTAATAAATCATATTTGATAGAATTTTAACTTTTTTAAAACAGGACACACATAGTTTGGTAAAGTTTAAATCTATTTGTTCTTAGTGTTTTTATTTTTAGCATTAATCTTTTGAGGTATTGGAGAACTAATATCTACCAGTGCTGGTATGTGAAGGGCTAGTTAGGAGAATGGCTAAAATGGTATTTTTCTGACTATTTTGAAAGGAAGTTTCAATATTCCTCCAGATGACAACAAAATCATTAGTTCTCCATCTCCCCCATCCCTTTCCATAACTGTGTAGTGCTCCATTCTTTCTGAAGAGTGGTTTTCCCCAGGAACTATTACCAGCTAACTGATATGTTCCCGAAGCTTCAGTATAGCGAGTCCCAGGAAGACTCTAGTTTTCTTCCTCTTCTCCTTCCCTCCCAGTTCAGTTCCTGGCATCCAGCTAATCCAGTCCTCTGGATTTAGTCTAGGTCGACTAAACTTATTCCAAACTACAAACACAATCTTTATTCTCAACTCATTGTTGTATCCATATCCCTTTGCTGTCGAATGGCCCACCCATATATTCAGGTTTATAAATTAGAACTGGAATGGCCCTTAACTCCCCCCCCCCTCCTTTTATTCATCCCTTACATACCATCATTAACTATGTTATTTTGATTTCTAACTAATTATATATTGAGATGTTTCCTGTCTATTTCCAGCACTCCAGTCTAAGCCCTAATAATGTTGTCTTTATTATCATGATAATAGCTTGTTTGGGCTTCCTGTGCACACACTTTTCCTTATAACGTCATTCTTGATATTTTAAAAGTGAGATGTTCCTTGTTACTTACTAGTTTGTATCTGTCTGCAGACCCACACATCCTTCACAATGGCACATGAGGGCCCTAATGCTTGACACTTTGACTGTATCTCTTTTGCATCTGTCTGCTCCTCCACGCTTTTGTTGTTCCTGGGGGAACTGTTTATATCTCACACTGAATGCTTCCATTTTACTTATTTCTCCTGGTTCTGAACATGGAGCTCATTCATCTTTGACTCCTGCCTTACATAGCTACACTCATAGCCTCCCTTCATCCTGCTTAATAGCTTAGTCACCATAGCATTCCTGGTGTTATTTTTTAGCTTCTTTGTATCCATGACGGGAAACTTTATGAAAATAGAGACTACATTACACTTTATGCCTTTTTCCTAGTATAGTACTAGGCATATGCTGAATAATAAGTATTTGTTGAATAAAAAAACCCAATTACTTCTTATCAGAGATGTATCTTCAAACCTTTATTGATATGCATTTTCCTCCGTCAGAGTGAATTTTCAGCTCTGTAATTTTGATGACAACCAGGAAAAAAGATTATAAGCCTCAAATAAGGAAATTGGAGAACTCTTTTGGGTATAACTTTGGAGGAATATAGTTTGACATGAGGCCTTTTGCCTTATTTTCACTCATACCCTGCTAGGACATATTATTTCAGAAAAATAAAAAGATAAAAAATTACTTTTGCTTTAAATTTTGTCCTAAAGTTTGACTTTTAAATAAACAAAAATTACTTGTTCAATTACACAAATGACTTTTTGTTAGAAATTTTGCTTTCATCCTGGTATATATGGGCAGTGAACCAAATATTTTATCTTTTATATAAAGACAGACCTTTTGATTCTCAGATAAGACTAATAGGACAAATAGAACACATGGTTCAAATCAACTATATAATATAGTGAAAATAAAAACAGTTGGGAATTATAG